ATTTTTAAAATTTGAATTAAATAAAACGATATCATTTAAAATCAAAACTTTATTTTTTAAGAGTTGAAAATGATATACACTTTTTTATTGTAATTAACTTTTGATATATTTTTAAAATAATAAAAACATGTAAAAACTAAAAATTAAAAAACAATAAGCATTTTTAAATAAAATCTAAATTTAGATAAAATTTAATAATCTATTACTTTCATGAATAAATTTCTATTTTTAATATAGTAGTAGTTATAAAAATAAAAACTAAAACTCAAAGTCTAACTAATTAAACTAAACCGAATGGTTTTCTCAAAAAGAAAAAAAAGAAAACAAAGAAAAAAAGAAACCTAAACCGAATGGTAAATTACCATGGCGGCTGCAGAAAATGTTGTTTTTGGTCTAAACTGCCAAAAACTTTTATGTTAACAGTATATTTTTAAAAATACTTCTGATTATGTATTATACAATTGAAGTGATTATTTTCCGCTCTCTCCCCAAATGTATCTAGCTTCGTATTGAAAACTTTTAAACATCAATTCTTTATCAATTGAGACATCTTAGGCTACTGTGTGTGGTAGAGATAACAGAACAAGTTAACAGCTCAAGCAATTTGGTTCCAACCACTCTAGCAATTGTCCACTAATCAGTAGCGTACATGTTTAAATGTTTAATGGGCAGTAGTGTGAAATCTGTATATTCTCTAGAGTAGTTGTTATTTTCAGTTGACCCATAATATGTGGAGTTAATTTACTTTCAGTTGACCGACTTGCGGTTGTCTCATCTTTTATCCAAAAAAATTCAAAAATAATTAATGTACAAGAGATTTTTCTGCATATATATGGTTAATGTCTATTGATTCATTATCAATCTCATCTCATCTTGTGACTTATTCAAGAAAATCTCTTTCCATTTTAAAACAAAATAATTTTTTGCTATATAAAATCGGTTATGCTATTTTATTTTTGGTACATTGAAAAAGCTAATTATTTAGCAACACAAGGATTCAAGCCAGGTTCTTAAGGTTAGTAGGCATCAACTTGACTAAATTCTTGTTGGTAAAATTGGTAATACTATAATTATAATATCACATGAAATTGTAAATGGCATTAAATGAAATATAATGTGAAATTAAACAAATATATGCATATAATATCATTAGTGGATCCACAAATTAAAAGAATTAATTATATAATGATTCATCCTATTATAAATTTATAATATTACATAACATTGTAATTATAATATTTTTTTATATAAAATAGTGTATATCAATTTTGATTTCTATTAAAAAAATTAAAGTTCAAACTTTAAAAACATCACATTCTAATGTAAATTAAAATTTCATCTTAGTTAATTATTACATTTGACAAAAAATTTGTATTTCAAAAACAAAATGTTGTAAAAAATAAAAATATATGTACTATATTTAATATTTTTCAAAAGTGTAGGGGGCAGCTTGTCTTCACCAACTCCCCTTTGTGTGTTTTGGACCACATGGCAAGCCAGTGATAAATTAGGTGGCACACGTCAACAGTTAGAAAGAATTTCGTTAGTTTAGTTAACGGATTATTTGTCAAGTAAACCATTTTGAAATAAAATTGATAGTTTATAAATTATTTTAAAATAAAAAATTATTTTTAGCCTAAATTGAAATAAACCACATAATTAATAAACTATTTATTAAATTTAGCCATCAATAAAATGTTGAATCTAATAGTTCATTTTTTAAAATATTTATAAGAATGTGATTTTTTTATAGGACTTAAAGATAAATATGCACTATTTTCATATAAAATATGCAAATAAACAAAGTTTAGGGACTAAATTTAGCATTTAATTTATATAAAATAATTGTTCATTATTTTAAAAAATTAATTTAGTGCATCAATTAGGAATAAATTATTAGAATAAAAGAATAAATTTATTAAATTGGGACCCCTTTAGTATCAATTTTTTTTTCTTCTAGTTTTAGTTGTTGAAATTTGAATCACCAAAATTGATAATTGAAAATCAAAATTAATACCCATTAATAATAACCAAAACTAATTCTTGTAAAGAGAATTTTTTTTAAAACTAAAAGCCAAAATTAAAACTATTAATTTATAAAACTTTTTTCTTTTAATTTAGTGTTGCTAATCTTTTATATATATATGTATATATATATAAAGGGTAGCTAAGGATTCCTTAGGTTTAGCTATAGTTAATGGTGGATATTCAATAATTTACACTTACTCCCTTTATTCCAAAAAAAATTGTTATTTATTGAAATTTATTTGAAATTAATTGTTATTTTTTTAAAGTAGACAAATATTTGGAGTCATGGTATTTTAATTGTTAGGACATTTGATTTTCACTATCTTTTAAAAATATTATAGATAAATATAAATATTATTTCTAAATTCTTAATTTAAAAATAAAATTAAAAAATAATTATAAGACAAGAAATTCTTATTTATATTTCAAATACTATTAACTACTAGATGTTATTAACTTTGGTTGTTGGCTGTTCAAAAGGATTAAACTAAATAAAGCCTAAACTTTCAACAACTGCAATAAGAAACTAAAGCAATAATGATACTAACTAGGTTCATTACCTATTTTCAAAAAAAAAAAAAAAATGATACTAACTAGGTCTTAATTAATATAGTACTTTTCGTTTCAGAAGGATAGACTTTTTTTATTTGAAATTTATTTTAGAATAATAGGTATTTTTTATATTAAAAAACAAATATTTTCATTTCTTTAATTTTATGATTATTTTTTAATTTTAATTATCTATCATCTTATTAAAATAATTATTTATTTTTAAGGATAAAATAAATAAAAAAATTATCTCTAAATCTTTAATTTAAAAATAAAATAAAATAAATCTATTATTTTAAAACAGATGGATACGAATTAACTTGTTATTATTGCTTAAAAACTGTCATAAGATGATATGGATAAGAAAAAGTATTAGTTAGTCAAATTTTTT